TCAGTCCTCACTCCTCCTCACTCCTCCTCCTCCTCCTCCTCAGTCCTTAGTCCGCAGTCTTCAGTCCTCCTCCTCCTCCTCCTCCTCCTCAGTCTTCAGTCCTCTCCTCCTCCTCCTCCTCCTCGTATTCCTCCCCCTCCTCCTCCCCCCTCCTCCTCCTCGTCCTCCTCCTTCCTCCTCCTCCTCCTCATCGTATTCCTCCCCCCCTCCTCCTCCTCCCTCCTCCTCCTCCTCCTCGTATTCCTCCCCCTCCTCCTCCCCTCCTCCTCCTCGTCCTCCTCCTTCCTCCTCCTCCTCCTCATCGTATTCCTCCCCCCCCTCCTCCTCCTCCTCCTCCTCCTCCTCCTCCTCCTCCTCCTCCGCCTCCTCCTCCTCCTCCTCCTCCTCCTCCTCCTCCTCCTCCTCCTCCTCAGCTCGGCCCAAGCTCCGAGGGCCGTGCCTCCGAGCGCCCCACTGGCGCCGCCAGCCGCGGCCCACGAGGCCAGCTCCGCGCGCGGGCCTCCGCAGCGCGCGCCGCGCCGGCCGGCGCTGCCCCTCGCGAGGGTCAGCAGGCTTGTAGGCCTCGCGGGCGTCAGCTCAGAGGGGGGAGAGGGGCAGTGGGGGCCCATGCCAAGAAACACCCTGCTTGCCTGCAGGGTGGCCTGGATTTCTTGGGTTTCGATGGTTCTGCTATGGAAAGCGTGACGTTCCCACATTTAAAAATCGATGGACGCCCTGGGGTCTCAGGGTTTGGTTTCCTGTGGAAGGTTTCTAGTGGACTGGCCTCCACTGTACCCATACCTCTATACCTGTACCTTTCCCTCGTTTCCCCCGTTTCGGGCCTCCTGGGAGACCCTCATCGCCACGGGTGGGTTCGCCTCGAACTCCTGGTCAGCACGCGCCCCGAGAGAGGTCCAGGGAGTAGCGGTATCAGTACTTGTTGATCTCCCTATCACCGCCAACCAAACCACCGCAACCCAACCCGATGGTTCCGATTTGCCTTCCATTTCCAGAGGGGGGGGTCGGGGAGCATGGACAAAAACCTATGTGAAGCCCGTACCCGCCCACCAACCCGAAATTCAGGTCTTCGGGTTGGGTTGGGGTGGTCTGGTAGGTGGTCAGGGTGGGGTCCGAGCAGTGGGGGGTCGAAGGATCGCTGCGCATCGCCGAGGCTCGCAGGCGATTTTTCTGGCGCTGCGGCGCGATCCTCCGACCCCCTCTGCTCGGACCCCCTTTGGGAGGCCTCTTGCAAGGGTGTCCACGTCTCGATTGGTTCGCAGTCTGTTGCTTGGGGTCAATTTGAGTCGGTCCGTTGTTGCGCCGCTGCGTCTATCCAGGCTGTTTTCGGTCCATCGTTTCGGTTCCGGGTTCGGTGTCACCATCGGTTCGGCTGGTTTTTGATCTAGCTGTCGCCGTGGACCCAAATGGTTGGGCAAACGTCGGAGTCGAGTGGGCCAGGACTTAGGTTTACAGCCGACTTGCCACAGTCCAGGTGTGAGTGTTGACAGTTCGGACTTCGTGAGGTGTCAGCCGCGGAGGATCTCGCCAGGAGAGGGGAGGGGGCCAGTCACTTCACGATCCGCACCAGCGCCGTTTTTTTTAATGGTTGGGAATGGCTGCCGGCTCCAGATTTCAGACGAGGTCCGTCCAGCCTCAATTCCAATGCTCAGTCATAAAAGACCAGGCCTCTGACTGCTTCGGTCCAAAATCATGGGAGCCTGTTATACCCTCTTGATGATTCCGTTTTCAGCGCTGACGGTGTAGCTTCTGGGAGTCGATGAGACAGCGCCGATTTAGCGTCGATTAGCGTCGATCCACTGTTGTTTCGCAGGAGCCGACGAGATGGTATTGGAGGCTCCCATGAGTTGCCACCGAAGTCGGCTCCGTCAGACAGAGTCGAGCCTCCGCAGCTCGAGACTCACGAGTCCCCGAGAGAGAGTCGGGACGTGGCGCTGCCAGGCTTGGCGCGCGCGGGGGGGGTGGTGACGCAGGAGTCGCGGCCCGATGTCGGCGGCGAGTGAGGGGGGGGAGTGAGAAGGAGAAGGCCTTTGAGAAGGCGGCGGAACTTCTCCTCCCCCCTCCTCCTCCCCCCGCCCCCTCCTCCTCCTCTCTTCCTCCTCCTCCTCATCTTCCTCCTCCTCCTCTTCCTCCTCCTCCTCCTTCTCCCCCTCCTCGGCCTCCACTCGGCGGCGAGCGAGGGGGGAAATTGAGAAGGAGAAGGTCCTTTCCGAGGGTGGCGGGACTTCTCAGAAGCCCTTTCGCGCCTTCTGACAAGTTTCTTCTCTTCGACTTCGTCGGGAAAGGCTCTTTTCAGAAGTCGCGAGGGCCTCTGGGCCTTCTGATCAGGCCCGTTGCTTCTCACTTCCCCCCCTGCTCGCCGCCGAATATATGGCAGGATGGGTTCATCTCAGAGGTCAGGCGGCTTCTCGGAGAGACCCTCCCGGCTTCTGGGGAGCTTTCTCGGGAGCACCCAGGTTCTGGATGATCGAAATGGGTACAGTGGGGGCCCATGCCAAGAAACACCCTGCTCGCCACCAGGGTGCCCTGGGTTTCTTGGGTTCCGATGCTTTTGCTATGGAAAGCGCGACGCTTCCAAGCCAAAAATCAATGAACGTCCTGGGGTCTTAGGGTTGGGTTTCTTGTGGACGGTTTCTTGTGGTCGGGCCCCTACTGAAGGTATGGAAAGAACGGGTACGATTCCCAACAGCAGTTCCTGTTCATTTTGAATTGGACTCCCTGTTCGCGCCGCCGCGGACGTAGTTCTCCGAAGACAGAAAGCCGCCTGCCCAACAGCAGCCGCTGTCGGTTTTGGACAACGTTTGTTGTCGGGCATTGTACCCATGATTTTCGTACCCATGTCGGGCGTCCAGACAGGCGTTTTTCAAACAGACCGTTTGGTTATCCCCCGGCGAGAGCGGGCGTGGTTAGGGGGAGCCCCAAGGGGAGGGGGCTGGTCACGTCACGATCCGCGCCAGCTCCGTCTGGTAATGCCTAGGAATTGCTCATTCCACGAACGCGCCAGCGCGAATCGCGACGTGACCAGTTGAGCAGGGACCCACCGTTTTGGCATTCCTATAGGCCGCCTACCACGAAATATTTTGAGAACACAAGAATTTCTTGTAACAGGAGTCATGTTCTTAGAGCATAAGCCCTATGAGCTAAAACAAGACAGACTCGGCCAGACATGTTCTTAGATTTCGTGCAAACCACAAACGGTTTATAGAAAATTCGGCGGTGGGCCTATAGGCGAGCCAGGACGCTTCGCCACTGCTTGAACCAGGGGGGGGGGAGAGAGCAGGTCACGGGTGCCATCGCGAATCATAGAAATACCGAGCTCAAAGAGAGGGCCCTTACCTTCCGCGAGGCCCGCCGCCTGTTCTGTGAGAGGGCCCTTCCCCTAGCTCGTCCTTTCCCTCGTCGTCGTCGTCATCTTCTCCCTCCTCATCATTTTCCTCCTCCTCTTCCTCCAACCCCCTCTTCCTCCTCCTCCTCCTCCTCCTCTCCTCCTCCTCCTCCTCCTCCTCCTCCTCCTCCTCCTCCCTCCTCCTCCCCCTCCTCCGCCTCCTCCTCCTCCTCCGCCTCCTCCTCCTCTTCCGCCTCCTCCTCTCCTCCTCGCCCTTCTCGTTCTCCTCCTCATCGTTCTCCTCCTCCTCCTCCTCATCCTGCTCCTCCTCCCCCTCTTCCTCCTCCTCCTCCTCATCCTCCTCTCCGACCCCTTCCTTGGGGCACGCTGCCAACAGGTTTTCTCATATTTTTTCGATTTTGTTCGTTCTGTTGCCGCGATTTCCTGGGGCTGATTCAGGGGCCCTGCGGCCACCAGATTAGATTCTCGTTTTGGCTACCTCACTGGGACCTACCTAACGGATCTGGTCGACTCTAGTTCGACCCCAGTTCGATTCAAGTTCGATTCCGGTTCGACTCAGGGTCGACTCACATCGACGGACGTTCGACGCAGCTTCGACGCACAAGTGGAGCGAGTGTCACCAGGAAGGTCGCCAGAATGAGCATCCAAACCAGAAAGGGATCCGGTGCGAAAGGTGATCCCCATATAGGGAAGGTGTCGAGGCTTCAGGGGCATGAGGTGCCGCCAAGCCTTGCGGCGCGCAGAGCTCAGCATGGATCGGACGGGCCTAGGATGAGGATAAATCCGTTCCAGAGCTTTCCGCAACGCTTTCAGAGCGTTCCGGGACGCTCTGAGAAGGCCGTGGCGCCTGAGACATCCTCCAGAGCCGCCGGATCTCAGAGATTCTCGATTTGTCCTCGCCCGGATATGTCTTCGTCCTGGCTTCGTTTGAATGGAGTGACAGAGGTGCCCCCCCCTCCTTGTTTTCCCCTTCCTTTTTGTTACTTTAGCCCCCCCCTTCTCTCGTTGGTGGCTTCTCGCCTCCGATCCCCTATGTCCCATGCGCGCAGAAAGAAGTTGGTTGCTTAGACAAGAGTCGGAACTCGGGTATTTGCCCCAGCTTGCTGTTCGGAGCCAGTTCCACCTCTATCGATGTGGGACGCCCACCATAGTTCGGGGGTTCGACTATGTCGGGGACTGGGGGTCATCCCTCGTGGTATCTTCATCTCTCGTCTCTCGTCTCATGTCTCGCCCACCTTTCCGCTTCCGCTCCCTCTTGGTTGTTGATTACATCCCTGTCCCGTCTCCCGCTCTGGTCTCATGCCTCTCCCTATTCCTCTCCGTATCTCTTCTGAGATCGACTAATCATGATGCGTGCTCCACGTGCACCGCCAGCACAACATGTAAGCATGCCGTCCGCTCGCACCTTTGCCGCCATGCATCGCCAGAGCAGCGCTGTCGGGAAACCTCGGCATCAGCAGGGCAGAGTTGCGTAGCGCGGGTATGGTATGCGGTGCCCCAGCAGCACGCGTCGCCATGATACTATTTGTATGCCTTTAGCGTTTATCCTGACACTTACGTGTGATCGTTGTGTTTCATGTTGGATGCTGTGCATGGTTTACTTGAGCGGATGGCAGGTTTTGCAAGGGATCGTTTCCAATTCCAGCGGCCGGCGCTGATGGAGGAGTACCGCGAGGCGCGCGGTTCTCTCTTCGATCCTGTGCGTGCCAGATTGTGGCATGCCAGCACATTGCGGGCACATCCAACGGACAGCAAGTCTAGACGCTTCGCGTAACCCCACAAGCTCTGACACGCCCTCTGGACTTTTCCTTGCGGGCCGCCGAACAAAAAAAAGTAACCCCACAAGCCCATCCAGAAACGATGCCCAGCCGAGTTGCCCTGGTCAGGGAAGTGGTCTGAAATGCAATTGAATAAGGGGTTGCGTGAAACTTCGTACTCCAAGAGGGGGAGAATAGAGGAGATTCGGAGGCGGAGCAAGAGGAGGAGGAGGAGGAGGAGGAGGAGGAGGAGGAGCAGGAGGAGCAAGAGAAAGAGGAGGAGGATGAGGAGGAGGAGGAGGAGGAGGAGGAGGAGGGGGAGGGGGAGGAGGAGGTGAGCATAGAGGCCAGAGGCCTCCTGGCTGCCTCTCGGAGTTTCCTCGGATTTCGTTGGCACGTTTCATGGGGTTCTATTGGGGCGTCTTTGGGGGCCTCTTAGCAGTCCCGGAGGCCTCTTAGGGCGTCTCGCTTTTGGGAGTATATTGGGAGCCTCTTGGGGGCATCTTGCGGGCCTATTGGGGGCCTCTTTGGGTCTCCTGGCCACCTCCCTCTTGGAGCACCCTTAGGAGCCATCCGGGGCCATCCTGGGAGCGATCCATAAAATTAGGGGGCGCTTCCTTATTTGGGGCCCTCCCAGGAGGCCAACATGCGTCCAACACCATGGTAAAGTCGATGAGTTTGGTCTTCTCGCGAGGCCTCTTGGTGCGTCTTGAATGCCTCCGGGAGACCTCTTGGGGTGGAGTACGTAGGGAGAGGGGGTCTTTTGGGAACCTCTTGGGGGTGTCTTGGGAGCCTCGTAGGGGCATCTTGCGGGCCT